CTCGATTGTCCAAAAATAAACCTGAGCGTTCCATAGGGATGCTCCAAGCAGGCATGTCTCAAAACGCTGTTGCGGCGTCAGTTGCGGAACAACTCAGAAGACAATAAGCCTACTCTTAAGACGTTTCCAGACCACCGGATCAACTGATGACCGGCCCCGCAGTGGAAGACCTAGAGTTACCACCCTTAGGAAGGACCGTCAAATCCGTTTGCTCCATCTTCGAAACAGATTTTTAACTGCGGTAGATTCTGCGCACAATACTTTAGGGAGGAGGATTAGCCCTCAGACAGTGCGGTTTGAGAGCCCATAGACCGTACAAAGGGACAGAACTAACAGATCGGCACAAGACCTCGCGACTAAATTGGGCACAGCATCACTTGTGCTTTAGATTGCAAGACTGGTCAAGAATACTTTTCAGTGATGAGTCTCGTTTTAGTTTGAACTTTGCTGATGGAAGAACCCGTGTCTGGAGGAGACGTGGAGAGCGGTAACTTTTTATAAGATAAAACATTAATGAATATCTGTTGATAATGAAAAACAAATTGAAACTATTATGACAAGGTATAATGAGAATTTTAAAAAAGTTTCATTCACAACAACAAATAGATCGGCCGCACCTGCGCCTGATAATAATGTGTATCAAGTTTGTAATTAAATAACTAAGGCAAAAATGCCAATAGCAAGTCGCTGTCCTTAAAAAAAGGACTGCAATACGTAGACCATGTGCATGGGTTTCTAACCGAAATTGAATTAGACTTAATTTCAAGTTGAAAGCCACAGTAACTCTTAGAATTAAGTAAAGTCTGATCCACATGTTTGTGTGTTATTTTTAATGTTTGAAAGTCTCTGTCGAGAATGTTTTTCTCATATGAAAACGCCACTATTTTTCAGTGGAGGGCTAAAGGGTCAAAGAGAAACAATGGAACGTTTTTGTGTCAGCTCTCATTATTATTCGAGATTTACTGTATATGGTCTCATCTAAATAAATGGCCTCCAAGACCTGCAATGGGATTCGGACCCGCGACGTAAAACGAACAACTCCTTCCCTTGCAACCCCAAAACAAACGTTCTGTTTCATATCTTCTCATAACAGTGCGGTATAATTTCAGTGTACCCATGAAAAATCTGACAGATAGTTAGAAGACTGGATTTAAAAAAAAGAAATCTTCAAGCAAAAACTCAAGTATAGGTTGAAGTATCCAAGTTTTATAAGCACAACTTCTCTAATATTTCGTGTTATACAGTATCCTAAAATTTCTCCTTCAATGTTGATTTACTGACGAGTAAAGAAAGGGTCTTTAAATCCGTTATGACAAATTGTTAAGGATTTTGTGTAATTTAAGAATCCAGTATAAATATTGTAAAAATTCAATAAGGTTGTTGGGTATGTATTAAAAATATTTAAAACTGACTTATGATTATGAAGAATTTCTTCCTTACAAATGGGAACTATGAGTGCAGGGTGGATTACCACTGCAAAAATTTAATCCTTTACTTTCTTAAATACAATTTGGATGCCTTTCAAACAATTAAATTATTGTTACCTACTTTGTTAGCTGGGACACATAGTACATATTGATCGTGTAATATATCTACAGTGTTTTTTTTTCAATTCTGAATTGAAGACAGAGAAAAAGATGGTTTCTTCTTGTCCTTCAACCGCTCAACTGCCATCTGATACTTTCAATCCATGCTGACCAAATTGCAAGGTCTTAATTTTCATTTGTAGCCTATTTATTGTGGTATTTTTACAGAGAAGTTATAATATTAATGAAATTTTGATACCATTTGTAAAAATTGTTTTATCAAATTATTGATTTCAAACTCTCATAATTGTACATTTCCGTCACAGGGAATGCTGTGTCAAGCAGTGCAATAGTTGCCTGGAGAAGAAGAATGTGAACACATAGAGGGGCTATTTTTAAATACATTGTATCAATTGAGGTGTTTTCCTTAATCAAAAAGTAATGTTTTAACCGTAGATGCAAAAATGTATGTTTTAGATATCGTAGTGTGGACTTAAACTAGAAATATTGTGGAATACAACATTTATAAGGCTAGATGGATCTTTGTATTGTTTACAATATTACTATTATTTACTGCGTTGTGGAAAGCGGAAAGTTTAACAACATTCGGGATAATTCAGCATTCTGATTTGAACATATTTTATTGAACACAATCAATGGGATTGGAAACAAGTTATGCCTACTTAGATTGTCCTCTCCAACACAAAAAAAAATAACAAAAATATATACACGTGATGTAAATGCAACAGATATATAGTAATATAAAAAGAGGAAGAAAAAGAAAGGGGATGCAGAGAGATAAGATTGATTGATTGATTGCATGTTGATTAACGTACCTCTCGAGAATTTTTCACTCATATGGAGACGCCACCACTTGCCGGAGGAGGGCTACAAATTTTGTCCTATGCTCGGCACTCAGGGCCTTTGAGCAGTGAGGGATCTTTTTCGTGCCATCACCTACTGCGACACGGGGCCTCGGTTTATACGGTCTCATCCAAAGGACCGGTCTCTACGTCCCACAGTGGGATTTGAACCCGCGACGTAAGGATTGACTCCTTACTTCGCGACTCTAGAGCAGACGCTCTAACCACTGCGCCACAGGGAGATAAGAAAGGAAGGGAATGGGAGTGCAAGGAGAGAAGAAATTAAAAGGGGGTTGTAAAGGATGCAAAATGGTAACGCTGGTTATTCATAAAATCTTTTTGATTTTTTAATATATTTATGTACAGGTTTAACAATATTGATATTATTTTGTGGAGACCCATTTCTGGGTCCCCGAATAAGATAATGTCAAGGTCTATTGCTCCATTGTTATTCTATATAGTGTGGAATAATTCCGTTCTAATTTCGGCATATTTTTTACAGTACAAGAAGAAGTGTTCAGTGTTTTCATTGATATATCCTCAAGAACACTGAGTGTTATCTGAAAGTTTAACTTTAAATAAATCTGACTTAAGGATACTTACATTGTGTCTTAATCTTGTTAAAGTTGAGTTTTTTTTTTATCAGAATAAGAAAAATATTTTGAGGGAGGTTCACCTTTTAATAGTCTTTTTTTGAAAGCATTCACAGTATCGATGTTTCTAATCTCTATAGGCAAAGCATTCCATTGTGATATTGTAGATGGAAAGAATTAATTTTTTAATAAGTTTGTTTTACATTGAGGAATAGAAATATTGTTGAAATTGCGTAAATCATAATGGGCGGTTTGTGAGACACCAGGAGGTAATAGATTTAGTAAATACTCTGGTGCGATGCCATGTTTTATTTTATACATTAAACATAATTTTCTCTTTTCCCGTCTATAGGCTAGTGTTTCCCATCCTGTTTCATTATATAGAGACTTACGAGGAGCATAAATAAAATTTGCATCACCAAAGGCAAAGCATGTGACTTCTTTATTGTCTAAAGCAATACAGATATTGTGATAAATTTCTATTAATTGGGTCACCGTTGAATGGTTACGCATTAATCCAGCTTGTAGGTTATATAATAGTTTTTCTAGCGGGACAGCAATTTCTTTCCTTATTTCTTTTATTAAAATATGACTGAAATTGTCGGGACCGGAGGCTTTTTTAGAATCTAAAATTTCGATAATATCGACAATTTCATTTTCATTTATAGTAATATTTTCAAGTCTAGCCTCTGTCCTTGATTCGAATCCGGGGAGGTCTTTGCCTTTATTGTCATAAGAGGAAACTTTACAAAATATGCATTCAACATTCTCTTCCATAAAACGTGGCTATTTAAATGTTTATAAATTCCAATATACATGAGCAGTTTAAATTGACTATCTTAGATTTCAATTGTTTGCTGCTGTAAAGCTACAACATTAGGAAAAAGATATAAAATTCTATTGGTTTATAATCTGTAACGTCATGTTACCATAGACTTCCTCCATTATCGTGCAATTCAACCTTATTATGTATTTTCAAGGAATAAAAGCTTAATGTCTTGATGGACGGCTCCAATTGCTTTATCAGAGCTGGGTTTTTGTAGAGGATTGGTGTCGATCAGCTTTCAGAGTGTGAAATCTTCAGCATTAAAATGGATATGTTACTGGTTATATTCAGTATTTTCAAACTGATAGAGGGTAATTTCATTATTTTTTCTTCTTCATTTCTGTTTATCATCAGATCTTTATGAAAAATAGTTTTAACTTATCTAAAATCAAATATTTATTTTCAAATTAAAAAAATAAACAACAAGTTCACTCAGTTAAGTAATATGAATGTTAAGAGAAGCTTTGTAATTTAACTGTGATTTTTTTCCAAATTTAACTTTGATGACAAACATGAAAAAATTTCATTCACAATTAATACATATATAGAGAATATTGCATACTAAAATCTATATCATATATCATATCATCCCGAGTGGCTTTAAAGGTACTTGGACACAAATTTGAAGTTAATATCTTCTTATAATATTACGAACTATATATTTTAATAGCATTTCACACAAAAATTTATTAAAAATCTTATTTCCTTTCAAAGTCATTAAAACTTTAAATTTTTTGGCAGGTTTGATTGACACATCCTTGCACTTTAACAAAATTAAAACTGAAATGCTTCTTGTTATTTACCTCTTTTTTTAAAGATTATTAGCTCTACTGGTCAGAGACCAGAAGAGCTTATGCGATAGTAATGCGTCCGTCGTCCGTCCGTCTGTCTGTCTGTCCGTCTGTAAACAATTTTTCAAAATGCTACTCCTCCTACAGTTTTGGTTTTATTTCAATATAAATTGGCACACAAGTAGACTACATTAAGATACATAATTCTGTGTATCGGTTTTTGATTTTGTCAAACGATGTTGCCGTGGTTACTAAAAATAGAAATTTTTGTGAAGATCATTCAAAATGCTACTTCTCCTACAGTTTCAGTCTGATTTCAATATAACTCGGCACACAAGTAGACTACACTAAGATACATAATTCTCTGTATCAGTTTTTGATTTCGACGAACGATGTTGCCGTGGTTACTAAAAATAGAAATTTTTGTGAAAATCATTCAAAATGCTACTTCTCCTACAGTTTTGGTTTGATTTCAGTATATCTCGGTACACAAGTAGACTACACTAGGATACATAATTCTGTATATCAGTTTTTGATTTCGACGAACGATGTTGCCGTGGTTACTAAAAATAGAAATTTTTATGAAAATCATTCAAAATGCTACTTCTCGTACAGTTTAAGTCTGATTTCAATATAAGTCGGCACATAAGTAGTTTACACTAAAATACATAATTCTGTATATCAGTTTTTGATTTCGATGAACGATGTTGCCGTGGTTACTAAAAATAGAAATTTTTGTGAAAATCATTCAAAATGCTACTTCTCCTACAGTTTAAGTCTGATTTCAATATAACTTGGCACATAAGTAGACTACACTAAGATACATAATTCTGTATATCGGTTTTTGATTTCGATGAACGGTGTTGCCGGTTACTAAAAATAGAAAAAAATTTTGAAATTCTCTCAAAATGCTACTCCTCCTACAGTTTTGGTCTAATTTTAATATAACTTGGCACACAAGCAGACTACACTGAGATACATAATTATCAGTTTTGTGTTTTTGATTTTGTTGACTTATGTTGCCATAGTAATTTAAATTGAAATTCTGTAAAATTTTATTAAAAGCTACTCCTACTGTTGTAGTCTTATGGCAGTCTTGCCTCAAAAAGAGACTTAATCAAGGATTATTATTCTATTTATTGCTTTTGTAAAGTTTTTAAGTCTTTACTGCTACTTTTCTCTTTCTTTATTACAAGTACAAACCAGTAGAGCTACAGTCTCGACAGAGACTTCTGGTTACAAACAAATTCAATATTCCTGTTTAACAATGTTAGAATTTAACAAACATTAATGAACATAAACGCCACTATGTAAATGAATACAAAGAAATCAAGAAAAAAAATATGATTAATATTGCTTTTATTTTGGATTTTTTATATAAAAAAAAAGATTATTTTCTTTCCATAACAAGTAATTAAATATTATTTTATGTAGCTAGCTCTGGATTTCATATTAGTACGGAGGGGAGTAAAACAATTGCCGACATAGAAGCTGAAAATGCAACTTTGATTCTAAATTGTTCATATATAGAAGGTACAGTAATTATCAGTGACCATGCCATCACTTGGAGGAAAACCAGTGGTGATAATGTAGCTGGTTTTGCAAAACCAGGGGGTCCAGATCCTGTTTATTATGCAGGTGGAGAATATCTTCGAAACAGATCGGAACTTGTAACACCAACTGCAAATTCAACATATGCTTTGATTATGATAAACAAAGTGACTTGTGACGACGAGAAGCCGTCATTCCAATGCGCCATAGTATACAATCAAGATGGTTTTAAAACCGCAGTATCTGGAGAAATATCGATGTCACTTCAAAGTAAGATTTTAATATTTAAATGACCGTTAAAGAAGTAATCTTTTTGTATATAATATAGTAAATATACATGTTTGCCATATTTCTATAGTATTTGATAGTATTTTATTTGATTTTTAAATGACCGTTAAAAAAAGTCATGTGTTTGTATATAATATTGTAAATATACATGTTTGTCATATTTTTAAAACATTTAAAGCAAAACCTTTCATAAGTATTGCATAAGATAAGAGAGAAATTTAAACTGATTTAAAATTACTCCTTTGATTTCTGCAGAGTCCTCCAAACAACCTCTTGATAGTCCATTGATTTCAAGCACAGAATTAGAAGAAAACCAAGACGTGGAATTATCATGTATCGGAGATGTGGGGAAACCACCGGGGGTTCTAAAATGGTGGAAAATCCGTAATAATAACGACTTCTCTCTCATCAAAGAATCTGATCCAATACCCGATGAAGCCGGAAATTGTGAAGTTATTACCAGTGTGAACACTACATACACGGTCACAAGGGATGATAATGGGGCCTTCTTTCGGTGCACCTCGCATAACAACATAACAAAGAATGAAGATCCAGAAGACACATTACTGTATAGAGATACCATAAAAATAAATGTCCTGTGTAGGTATATTGGTATAAAGATATCAGTCTACATTGTTTTTTCTTTCACATACACAGGTTATCGCATTTAATTGACATAATTTTACAATCTTCAAGACAAAAAAGGTTTTCATTGTTATAAAGGATGTGGTAAGAAAAGTGTGGCATCAGTTAAAATTGTGAAAGTCTGCAATCATGAACAAATGTTGTCTTTTCAATGATTGCTTTAAAGATTTTTTTTTATCATACCACAAAAATAATACTGAGAGGTCACAAGAGGCTGTAAATGCAGGGCTTCAAAGCAAAAGTCAGAAACATTATGGAAATCCTAAAATATAAATTTGAAATTTCTCACATTTTGGAAAACATAGATTAAGCACAAGCTTTTCTTCAACAAGTTTGCGGTCTTTTTTTTTTAACAAACTTTGCTTTGAAATTCATAAAAAAAGTAATTAAATGAGATATTTTGGAAATAGACAAATAAAGTATCCTTCTTGTGCTTTTCTTTGTATCTCACTTTTATTAGAAATAAAAATGAATCCACATTTTGTTTACATTTTTTTAGTCTAAAATGTTGATGTTACATCATTTTATCCCTGTGAATCGAATAAAATTACTCTAAATATTAAATTTTGAAGGAGTTAGGTGTTATAGGTGTTCGCTTTGCTTTAATGATGATTTCTGTTGAAATAAAATAATAATGAATGGAAGTACTAACAAAGGTTTTCACGTCGCTAAAGGCAGACAATGCTTGGAATAATGTAAGAGAACAATTATAGTTTTCATCCTTGTGAGATATACGTATTTTTTCAGGGGGTCGTGTACATGTACTTAAATACCAGTATTGGGAAATGTTGTTCAATAGATATTATTAATAACAAATCACTTTTAGAGGAGGTAGAGTATTTCTTTTCTTTTTTCTTTAAAATCGTCATCAAAAAATGTATTGTTAAAAGCTTCATTATTTATTTCTAGATTTTTTTCAAAAAGAGCCCATATCAGTGATTAAATTTATTTAAAATCTCAAATCTTTTACCGGTATTCAAAATTCCCAAGTTCCATGCCCTTTGTTCAGACTTTTCATTCTAAAGGTTTTTTTTTTTTATTTATTTTTGTTTAGATAAAGCTATGGTTCTCAGAATCATCAGAGTCCCAGAACTGGATGTGTATCCAATATCCACTTCGAAGCTCAACCTGACGTGTTTAGCTGACGGAAACCCTGCACCAACTGACAAAGATTACAAATGGACCTTTCAACCTTTCCATTCCAACACAACAATAGAAAAGAATTCGAATGGGAAATTTCTTTTATTCCAGAGTCTTCAAGAAGCTGACTCTGGAACATACACCTGTTCTGTCACAAATACTTTAAATTCGACACATTTTTTAAATGTTACAATTATTGTTAATGGAACTATTCCAGAACCAAAACCTTCTTTACACTGTCATTCCAATCCGTGTGGAGCTCTAGAGAATTGTGTGGAAACTGGACATGAGTACAAATGTGAAACCAATACCATGAGTGTTGTTGGAGTCCTGTTTATCGTTTTGACTATAGCGTCCCTATCTGTATCGTTTGGACTTGCATACTACCTGCGTAAACTTCACAAAGTTTCTCAAATTGGCGTTCAGAACAGCAAAATTAGGTATTGCCTATAGAAAACTTCACTTAATTTAAATTATTAACATGCATATACAAGTTTATAATATATTGGTGGTAAAGGAAGAATTTTTGAAACTTACCAATTATGTGTGACCAAAAAATATTGAAACAATAGTATGAAAATCAAATCAAAATCTGGAATAGAATTTAATCTTGATTATTCTATTATTGACTTGTAAATTATTTTACTGTCGTATTTTTAATTTTAGGAAAATTTAACTTTGAACATCTCTTTTTTTCTAAATATCCTAACTGAATTAGAGTTGCACATCCATGCTTTTGATATAATTATACAAGATATTTGTTTTATTTTAACAGCAGAGGTAACGCCAACACACTCCCAATGACAGAAACAACGGGTGACCTAAATACTCGCAATGGAACTGTTCCCTCCAACGAGACAAAAGACGCTGTGTATGCTCAAATAAAAAAACCGTAATCCTTACTACCAGAAAGTGGCCTTCCTTCATTGACTGATTCATAAATTAAAAAAAAAGATACTTAAGCTGACATTTCCTTTCATCGAGTATTATTTCGAAATGATTCTAAGAGTGTAAGAAACAAAATTTAGCCTTTCTCTATAAATATTTTCATACAATCTGTGTGACACGGTGTAGTACTTTTTACATATGATGTATATAATTCTATAATTGTAAAATATAATATACATGTATTCCATGATAATGTATATTCAATATATACTATTCCTTTTCAATTAATGATTTTTGTTTTTAAAAAGTCAATTAACCTGATTTTCCCCAGGTTGTTGATCTTATCAAACGCATCATTTATTTACTTATTTCATCTGCCATTAAGTATACGACACATGCAAGAAATTTTATATCTTTTTTTACATTGTAACTT